GTACTTTTCTAATGGACTCTAATGCCAGCTCCTAAATTTTATAGAATAAAAGTGTGATCAGCTTTAATGACCAATTTATGCACAGTAACAGTCTGATGTGGCCGTATAAGTCAATTTGGGGTTCTGGAGGGACTGTAAACTGAAGCTGTTAATTGCTCTTCCTCACTTCCATTGACCAGACCTCTCACCTGCAGCTCCGAAGCAGTGTGCTCTGTCATTAGCACAGCAGCATTGATCCCAGCTGGCCTCCTGATGTGTGCTGACACATTTTACAGGCCAAATAAATGCAACAGAACTGTTACACAAACATTTACGGCCTCAACTCTTGCAGCATTCATTGAGATAACTTCCTACTTTTTCCTCCCTGTGAGAACTGAATGTTTCCCTTACCTCTCTGTAACTGCTCTTGGTTAATCCCATAAAGCCCTGGATTATGGCCTTAAACTCTCTGCTCAGCCAATTTTAGATCATTTGGTTCTGTTTATCAGTCAGTGAGCATTCTTGCAGTAAATGATCCTATTGCTATTTTTATTGACTTACATTCTTCAGTTTCCTCCAGGCACTGATCACCAAAGCACTCTGCAATCACTTATAGGTCTAGGTTTTTAAATTAGTGGGCAGACAGCCTTACACCCATGGCATTTATGACACTGATATTATTAGTTATTGAGCATAATCAGACATTACTTAACCATAAAGGTATATATGTCCCTGAAATGCATCATTAGCCCAATATTGTCATGGGAACATCCTAGGATATTTACACAAACTAAGACAGCTACAGTGTTGCTAGGTGATAAAATCTGTTGGACCCCCCATCTTACCTGCAGTCCATTGTTGACTAAGCATCATTATGTAACACATGACCCTATTTATTGTGCACCTTCTGTGTGCAAAACACCATCCTAAACTATGCTGTGAAGGCAGCTAAGGCCATCGATGCGTCCCCTCACCTCCTCCTCTCCTCAGTCACTGATTTTTAATGCAGGGAATGAGGCAGGCTCAGTTTGAGGCAGTACAGGGCCATGGGAGCACCATGGGAGTGGTCCCTTGTGTGCAGAAAGTATTTCAGGGAGGAAAGAGCCCTTCTGCAGAGGGGATGAGGAAGCTTCAGTCACTGGCCCAGAGGGCGGGTGAATTTTTTTGGTTTTGTTTTTTGTTGTTGTTGTTTGTTTGTTTGTTTTTTTATTTTATTTTATTATATTTTTCTGCAAAGACCATAAAACTCCTGTTTCTGAGTGGATATTTCAAGAGCAGGTGCATAAATTAGTGGTAGAAACTTGCCTAGCATTGCAAGGCCCTAGATTCTGTCCCCAACATCAAATAAATAAGAATGGATTTTTAAAAATCGAATTCATACTTTAGTCAGGGTGGACTTTAAATGTGGTTTGTTGTGATCTCAAGTTTCCTACAGCTTGACTCTTTGGGTTGTCCTGCAGTCCTTTGTTCTGCAGGATTTTCTTTGGAGGCGGATGGACCCTAGGTCACCCACACACACACAGCTGTGTCTTGCAGGAATGCATCTCCTCCAGAGGCCCTGTCCTCGAGGAGGGTGGACGTTAAGAAGTAAATGTCAGGTTCGCTATCATAGTGGGAGCACACAGAGGCCACACAGTGGGAGAATCCTGTGTTCCTGCTCCAGCCAATGCACTGAGGGTTGCTGTTCGTACACCCAGGCCACCCACCATATTGTGTGGGGACAGACACATTTGTTTTGTCACAGGACACTTGTGCTGCTGAAGCCTTCAGATGGGCCACCAGAGGGAGCATCCGTTGGACAAACAAGCGAACCTCTTTGAAAGCAATTTTGCAAGGTCCTTTAGGAACCCTAAAGATCTTCAAACCTATTTACCCAGTAATTCCACTTCTAGAAGCCTTTTCTATAAAATATATATAAGTGCACTAAAATATATGTGAGTGGTTATCGTAGCATTAAATGGAAGCAATGTAAGTGTTGATCATGTGAGAATGATAAATAAATTATGCATCTTTACAACAAAATATACAATCATTGAAAATATCCTTTTCAGAGAAGTTAATGGCATAAAGATTATAATATGAGGTTCAATAGAAAAAGCAAGTGATGATATAATTGCAAATTAAATATTTTTATGTTTGCATGCACACACACACACACACACACACACACACAACCTTTTAAACTTATATATGAATTAACAGTCTAGGCAGAAGAATACCAAAGTATTCATAGCCACATCCCATAAAGCAATTAAATGTTTAAGGAGAAAAAGAATAAGATCCTCATAAAGTTCTTATGTAGTTTTTTTTAAAGCTTTTGAAATTTCAATGCTATCTACTAATGGCACCTCCCAGGTGATAAGGACATTGTTTCCATTTATCACAGGAAAGAGCAAACCTCCTTCTTGGCACTGACCTTTATCTTCATTAGTTATATGCTCCAAAATTAAAATTCACAGTGCGCATTCAAATCAATCAAGAGTCGGTTTTGTTGTGTTTAACAAGAAACCCAAATAATAGTGGCTTTAAAAGATACGGTTTATTTTTCTCTCATATTTAAGCAAGCTGGCAGTTAGGTGTCCAGAGCTAGCATGGTGGCTTCATGGTCATCAAGAATCCAGGCACCTCCTTTCTGTCCCCCATTCTCATTGTGTGACTCTCATATCAAACACAGTGCTATATGGCTGCTGGTATCTCAGCCATCTGCTTCAGATTCCAAGGAGAAGTGGCGGGCAGTGTTTTGATATGTGGGTTTACCATGTCTTCCATTCATGATGTAATCTGACATCTCATTGTCCCCTCTTGATACAAGAAGAGCTAGACACTGTAGAATTCTAAATTCACACATTGACCCCAATAAGGAAAAGGAGAGATGGGTACAAGGGAGTCCACAGTTATCTATTGTGGTTATCTCCAGTTTTAATCATATAGGGTTATAGGTCTTGCCATGACTGCCACCGTGTTACAGTGATGTGTACTTTTTTGGTGGAATACCAGGGATTGAACTCAGGGGCACTTGACCTCTGAGCCACATCCTCAGCCCTATTTTGTATTTTATTTATARACAGGGTCTCGCCGAGTACTTATTAGCACTTTGCTTTTGCTGAGGCTGGCTTTGAACTTGTGATCCTCCTGCCTCAGTCTCCAGAGCTACTAGGATTGTAGGCATGTGCCACTGCACCCAGCGGCTGGTGATGTGTACTTTATGTGATGAAGAAGTCAGCATTATTTAGGGAACTGGCAGAGGAGTGCCGTTTTGGAAAAAGCACTGGTTAGAGATGGGAAGATATGGAGTTCAAGTCTTTGTTCCTCAGGCTCTGACTTCACTTGGCCTCCATTCCTCACCAAAAATAAGGACACTAATACGTGGAGCATTTGCACCTGTGGGTCTTGCCCTTGCTGTGGTTGATTCCCCGTTTTGCACTTCACATTTCTCTGGCTCCCCCTACACAGCTGCCCTTCCTCAGTTCAGGCTGCAGTCCTCTCTCACCTTCCTCCTTGCTGGGCTCTGAACTGGGCCCCTGGCTCTGGCCTCTGCTGCTCTTGTTCCTGGACACCGAGATAAAGTGGTCTTTGGAGTCAGTTGTTCCTCTCATGCCCCACCCACTGCTCCCAGTACCGGGGATTGAACTCAGGGGCACTCAACCACTGAGCCACATTTTGTATTCCAGCTCTCAGCTCAGCTGGTTCACACCTGTCTGGCATATAAATTCCTTCTCGATCCTTGCTTGATGCTTCTCACAAGGACAGAATTTACTGCTTCTTGAGGCAGCCCTTTCCTTTTTATTATTATTATTATTTTTTTTAACCCAGCAGAGGATTGAGCACAGGGCTTTGTGCATGCTAGGGAGGCGCTCTACAACTGAGCTGCATGCCCAGTCTTCTTGTTCCATCCTGTTTTGGAACAACTCTGTTAAAGGGTTCTTCCACATGCCATCTCATAGACTGTGTCTGCTGCTAGCCACTTCAAAACTTGGTGGTAAACTCAGCCAAGCACCTCTGATAGTCCCCTTCTGTGGGGAATAGCACAGAGGATTCTTGATTCTGACCCCCGGCCACTCTGGGTGGCAGCTCTGGCCTTTGGGAGTTTTCTCTCACTTGTATTTTTTTATTCTAATTTGTTATATATGATAGCAGAATGATTACAATTCATATTACACATATAGAGCGCTCTCACCTGTATTTTTAAAAAGCAGTTGTTATGTGCCCCGGATTGTCCATAGAGAGGTCCCCTACTCTGAATTCCAGACAGATTTCTTAATGCTCCCTTTCTTCGCCAGTTCTACTTATTCCTTAAAAAAAAAAAAAAAAGAAGAAGAAGAAGAAGAAGCATCTCTCAGGAGCTGCCTTTAAAGAAAAATTGTGACAAAGACCCTTTGTTCTGGGGGAAGGAAAGGCCATAGCCCTGGGTTATGGCTGGGCATCCATCTGAGACAGTGGGAGCACTTATCTAACAGAGACACTTAATTGAAAAGGACCCTTAAAATAGAAGGCAAGAAAGACGGGCGGCAGGAGATGTGTGAACACAGACTGCCCTCTGCCCACCAGGGTCAGCAGCTAAGTGTTTGCATTTCCCAGAATGCAACACCTTTTCCACCCCAGCATGGAAAAGGCGCACCTCAGCTTTATGCTGAAAGCCTTTCTGGGTGGAAGAGGTAGTCTTGAAGGAAGTCCCATCAGGTGGGGAACCTGTGCGCACATGTGGAGGGCTCAGCCTCCAGACAGCAACCAGGGAGCCTGGTGGACAGACCCAGGCTGGCCCTGGGGCCCTTTCAGGAAAGCAGGAATGCCCGTGTGGGTCTCTGAGTTCTCACAGGGAGGGGGTGTGGGAAGTGGATGGTGCAAGGAGACACTTCTGGAGGTCCGCTTCGCCCCACAGTACACTTTTCAGGAGGGAATACCCTGCCATTTAATGCAGAGGCTAATGTATTTGCACTTAAATGTTACAAATGGCTTTTGCTGATGGTTCACACCTGGGAGAGTCCTGTGGTTCTTGACCTGTGCTTTTTCTTTGCCTTCAGGTTCAGATTGGCCAACTCTATTCAACTGACAAGCTTGTCATTGAGAATCAAGAGAAGCCAAGGACCTAGGGAGCTGGGAACCAGCCACCGACGGGGCCATGGACCACCTTCAGCATCCATTCTGTGTGCAGGCTGAAAATAGCCTCTCACTTTGCCTACCCTATGGGAGCTGAAAAACTGAGTCACGTTTCCATTCTGTTACAGCCTTGGTGAGAAAGGATGGCTGTGCCTTCTCAGTTCAAGTGTTAGCATGAAGGGCTAGAGGTCACTCCGAATAATGCTATGTATTATGGTGTCTCCTCTCCCTCCCATCCCATCTTGTAGCTCGTCACCATTTGTAGAGAACATATACAGACTTTGTTTTTCTTGGTCCTTGACAATAAACCAAAGTGTCTCCCTTTTTCTTTTGTGCCAAATAAACCCATTAAGATAATGCACATTCACTTCCTGCTGAGGCAAGGCCTGAAGAAGTGGAGACCCCTGAGCAGGTCCCACCTTGAGCTGAAAACTCCCKTTGTATGGGGAGTAGARAGCAGGTCAGGGTGATGAGGAACAGGATATGCCCAGAGATGAGTACTTTACAGCCAGCCAGAGTGGGTGTGGGGATTGGCAGCGAACCCCTCCCCACCCCTTGTGCATCAGAATCTTACCTCTGACAGGCCCCAGTGTGGTGCCTGGACCCTGAGGAGAGTCTGAGAACCACTGCTAATAGCACTGGGCCCAGCTCCGGCTGACCGTCGGAAACAAACAGACAGATCTCTCACCACTTCCCTTCCTGTAGATTCTAACTTGGTAACTGAGAGGTGAGACCGAGTTAATATATATTCTTGAAGATCTAATGTTTTCAGTGTTTAATCAGTTTGAGGAACCCCTGCTCCTTGAGTATGTTACAGATAATAAAGATTATGATTTGAACACTTTTATCGTGGAAAATACATTCTTTCCACACATCTAGAAGAAGTATATTAAATAACTTCCTTGACTTCTGGGGAGCTTAGGCAGGGCCCAGACCCTGTTAGAGTGATTTCTCATTCTCCTTTGTGTACAGTGTTAAGTGGATTCAAGATTCATGTGTTACGGTTTGAACAGGTTCATATAGGTATTACAGTTCCTGCCATAGCTGTGATGGTGTCACCCTTTTATTAATTCTCAGTCTTGAGTCAAGCATGAACAGTTCTGGGCCTATACCCTTGTCACCCTCGTCACCTTGTAAGTTACGTGTCCGTGGCATCCATACAGTGCAGATTATATTTATGATGATGCATTCAAAATAGCTGAAGCATTTAGCCCTCCTATTTGGCAACACAACTTTTTCAGGATACAGTCTCGTGCACCCGTGAGACTAACAAAGCTCACTGTAGGTCCCGAATCTGTTACTCTGAACAGTTCCCTCCTGGGAGCTGCAGCAGAGTGGACCTGCAACAGAATAGCTGTGGGTGATCACAGACAACGAGGGAAATGTGATCTCCCCTTCAGCTGAACGTCATGAGCCACAGTCCCTAGCCATGGTAGATGTGGCCCTGGTGCCCTTCTTCCACTCTGCATCAATGTCATTCACCAACGACCTCATCCAGCAGTGTTGTTAGTGATTTATACTCTGATTTATACTTCCTTGAACAGCTGCTACTTGGAAACCTAACTCCAGACTCCAACCTTCTCCTCTAAAAGTATCACATTGCAAGCAGGAGAACAACTCGAGGAGACTTACCCTCCAGGTTTGGTTCCAAAGGCAGCCAGAGCAAACTTAACATTTTTCTGCAGTCCTTTAACAGCAGGTTGCTTTTGTGTGAATGAAACCACATGAATGGGTTTGAACCTTGCCCAAAGCCTTGATAATACCGAGCAAGTCTGTAACTTAGGTAAAATTACACATTTGGAATCTGCAAAAAAGATAGGAAGGAGAATTCTATGGCAGAAAAAGTCCAAACAGGGCTTGATCCTTCACTACAGGTGTAAGTCTGCAGGCAGAGCCTCAAACTGGGAACTCCCCAAATTCAGAGGATCGAGCTTGAGTCTAGAGCATTGGATAAAGTGCCATGTCCATGGAGACTGGGCCCCAGCTGCAGGGTTTGGAGCAGAGTGGGGGTTGCACCATCCATCACCATCAGCCTCAGAACTCTACAGTTTGAATGACTGTTCTAAAGAAGGGGTTCAGGCTGGGGTCGAGATCAATTTCAGTGTCAGATATTAGCAACTGAGAAATACCACCAGAAGTTCACCTCTCCTGAGGTAAAAACCATTGGCCGAGCAGAACCGCTTCTAGAACTTCAAAGATGGCATTGGATTAGACAAGCCATGATGCATTAGGACTCGGGAAGCCTCATATAGCCAAGCCCATGGCTATGTTGCTTTGATGCTCTTGTTCTCTGGATTGTGGAACTGAAAGGATAACGTGGGTTGGCATAGACTGTTTTATGTACACTCTCCTGCCACCCAGTAGCAGTCACACAACCCCCTCCCTCCTCAGCCTCACCCAGCATCTCAAGCCCTTTGATTTTATTTCCAAAGGTTGAGAATATTTCTCTTGATTGTTTTTGTTTTTCCAGTGCTGGTGATTGAACCCAAGGCCTTGGGCATGCTAGCCAAGTACTCGATCACAGAGCTACGCTCCAACATCTTACCACTTAAAGTACCAACAAAAATAACTTCTCAAGACCATTATGAAGAAATGTTTACCTGTAGTTCTCAGTAGGAAAAAAAAAAAAAAAACATTTTCCTATAGGAAAAGTCTTTTATATGTAACAAGTTTGACTGGGGGCTCGATGTAGGGAGAAATTTTTCTATATTTAGCAAAAGGAGTCATAGGATTTTTTTAAGAGGCTGAGGAAAGTTGGTCTACATGTTGGCCTCATAGTTCTAAAAATGAAAATAAAATACACAGTAAAGGTTGAGTTGGTAGAAAGTGCAAGGATATAACAAAATAAGCCACTTTTTTTGTTGTTAGGTATAGTTTCTTCTTTATAGAGTAAGCCCTCCATCTCTGTAGGTGTCATATCCATGGATTTTAGCAACCAAAAAATAATTGGGGAAAATTGTGTTTRTACTAAAYGTACTTGTGGTATGCATTATTAGTCATTGTAAGTCATATAAGAYGGCTGAATTCTACAGAAARATGTGTGTAGGTTCTATGCAAACATTCTGCCATTTTACATAATGAATTTGAGCATCACTGATTTTGTCATCCACAGGGCTTCCTGGAACAAATCCCCTGAGGATACCAAGGGACAGCTGACTAAACACTGCTGCTTGCTTTCTAGATAAAGGAGCATCTTAGATACTGAGTCTAGGTTATAAACAGCAGTGGATCATGGAGTAGGCACATTTGCTGAGACCACATAGATGAAGCTGGCAAAACTCATGCAGATATTTATTATCACACATAAAAGGAACAGCCCCCAGGAAATGCTCCATACATCTCGAGTGGGCAACTGCCTCACAGCTAATCTGGTGTTTACCAGTAGTTCCAAAAGGATCTAGAAAAACCGGGTAGAGAAAGCAATGATTGATGATATAGCAGTCTTTTTTGTTTGGGTTTGTGTTGTTTTCTGAGCATTTTCCCAGAATCTATATGGACAGTGGCTTCCCTCCTCTCTTGAAAACAATAAGACCTTCACTTTTCAATCTTTCCATAGCCCTTATTTAGTGCTTCAGGGAGCCATTTGTGAAAATTGCTTCTTGTGTTGATATCCATGTGGGGAGTGGGATGGATGTTGTTGCTTTTGCTCTAAGGTACAGTTTCAAGTCAAAGACCCTGAGGAGAGAAACAGGAGAACTCTTGGTGATGAATCTATCCTTTTACCTGGGGACCACTGCCACCATAGTGGTGACAGCAAAATTGGGGTCTTGCTATCTTGAAATTAGATCACAAGAATTGTCAACACCAATAAAACTGGAATTGCAGGTATTGGGGTCAGACTAATGGTGTCTGTGTTGACCACAGCGTGACCCACAAGAACCATGGGACATTGGGCTACGTCTCCCTGAGGCAGCAGGACTTGGGTCAGAAGCTGGATCCACAGGAACACCACTTCCTGGAAACAATCTTTATTCTCTTCCTTACCAGCATGACGGGCTTTCCCAGAAACATCAGTAGTACTGAATACAAACCTCCCATCAGACAAAACTTACTTTATTTCCTTTGTTTAGAGGTATGTCTCAAATGTGTGCTCATTATATATTCTTAAAGCATTTTGCTAGAGCTTCCTGCTAATTACCTACTGAATTCATGTGACTTCGCCTCTCTTAAACAGTTTAGTGACAGTGTACTTGGTTTGGTTTGTTTGTTTGCCTCCCTATGTTGCTTAGGCTGGTCTCTAATTCCTGGGCTCCAGTGGTCCTCCCACCTCAGCCTCCCAAGTGCTAGGACTACAGGTGYGGGCCGGCCAGCCAGCATGTTTCTTTATTGTTTAAATGAGCATTTCATTCATGTGCAAACATGTGATAGATACAGCACATACAGGATCTATGACCAGGTTTTAAATACGTCTTGGGAGGAGTGAGCAGCTTGAAGGAGAGGCATGTTGTGGGCCAGCCTGAGCCAGAGTCCCTGCCTGGGAGAGAGTCTTGTTGGTCTTCTCTGTTCAGGAGACCAACCTGTAGAACACCTGCAGAACTAAGTGCTAGACTGGCTACGAGAGCAAGAGAATGGCAGGGTTCAAGAGAACTCAAGAGGGCTTTGGGTTGGAATGAACTAAGAGGGAAGTTCAGTGTTAGAACAGGGAAGATGGAGATACCCGTCCGTGGGAGGACCATGGGCCTGGTACATGGGCAAGTGTGCCCCAAATCCTGGTTCACGGCAGCTTCCCATAAATGAGGGCAGGTTGCCAAAGTAGCCCCCAGTTACGGATGACCAAGAAAATCATTCATTCCTTTGTCTTCCAGGCCCACTTCTTCTGGTGGTGAGACCCAAGTCAGCAGCATCTCCACACTTTAGTTTCATCAACCACAAAGTAGAGCTAAATGTGTGTCCACCCTAGGGCTGCCCCGAGGATTTGAAAAGCCGTGTTCTTCCAACACTTTTGAAAGAGTGCGAGTAATAACTACTGACTGCTTTATGTCAATCATTCTAGAAACTGGTGGATACCTCACAGGTGCAGAAAGCGCCAGACCTGGATTCTTAATTGCAGTGTATTCAGCACTGGGCTTAAGGCATAAGTGCAAGGAGCTCTTCTGAGTCTGAGTTCATAAATTACCAAGGAGATGAAGTAGGACTGCAAGGGGAAGAGGAGGAGATTCAGAAGGAGGCATCGTCTCAGCCGGAGGACGGAAGCCAGGAGGCTGTGCAGCGGAGCTTCCTGTGGGGGGACAGGGAGCTGCTGAGCAGAGAACTGAGCGTGTGAACTGCAGAGCAACTGGTGGACACAGGACGGCTTCAAGAGCAGAGCAGTCACTTAGAAGAGGGG